CTCTTATTTTCAAATCTCTAAATCTTTGCAACCCAATTTGTCGCGTAGACATTAGATATTTCAAACTATGAATGATCTGCTAGATCAAATAACCAGAGTTTTAAATATCAAAAGGGATTCCTTCACACCAACGTCAGTTGATAAAAACTTGTCAATTATATAAACACATCTTTATTTTCTTCTTTTTCAATAGCATTTAAGTTTTAAAGTTATTTCAATGTTAGATGTTGTAAAATACATGTGATCCGATGTTAAAATTATTTACTACTTATACTTTACAGGGAAGATAAGGGAATTGTACCTTACGAAGGGTTCACGAAAGACAAATTTTTATTTTATAAAACCCGTGGTTGAGTAAAATATTTAATTTTTGTTCTATAAAACCTGTGGTTAAGTAAAATATCTAATTCTTTTCCTATAAAACCCGTGGTTAAGTAAAATATCTAATTCTTTTCCTATAAAACCCGTGGTTGAGTAAAATATCTAATTTTTGTTCTATAAAACCCGTGGTTAAGTAAAATATCTAATTTTTATTCTATAAAACCCGTGGTTAAGTTAAATATTTAATATTTGTTCTATAAAACCCGTGGTTAAGTAAAATATCTAAGTTTTGTTCTATAAAACCCGTAGTTAAGTAAAATTTTTAATTTTTGTTCTATAAAACCCGTGGTTAAGTAAAATTTTTATTTTTTGTTCTATAAAACCCGTGGCTAAGTAAATTTTTATTTTGTGTTCTTTAAAACCCGTGGTTAAGTAAAATTTTTAATTTATTTTTGTTTTATAAAACGCGTAGATAAGTAAAAATTTTAATTTTTGTTCTATAAAACCCGTGGTTAAGTAAAATTTCTAATTTTTGTTCTATAAAACGCGTGGTTAAGTAAAATATCTAATATTTGTTCTATAAAACCCGTGGTTAAGTATAATTTCTAATATTTGTTCTATAAAACCCGTGGTTAAGTAAAATATCTGATATTTGTTTTATAAAACCCATGGTTAAGTAAAAAATCTAATATTTGTTCTATAGAACCCATGGTTAAATAAAACTTATAATTTTATTAATCACCGATTTAAAGGTCGTAAAGTTTAACCGAATTCGTTGTTAGAAATTCCTGGCATTTGATTGATTGAAAGCATAATTATTTAGCCCGTTTGGAGTATATTAACTTTTGTCAATTTCTTAACTTAAAATTTGAGTTAGTACACTGCAGTAATTGTTGTTCAATCTCTAAGATTTCTTTTTTTAAACTATTTTTGTAGTTTTAGATTCCTATTTCTTTTCTCCTATTCTTGATCTATATCTTGTATGGCTGTTGTTGTTTACAACTTACATGAGAGGGGGGGGGAGCTGTTGCGTTGCCCCCATTTCACAACCGCCTAAAGAAGTTGATTTTTTCATTTTATGTTTTAGGGCGTGTGTAGTGTGTATTGTACGGGTGTGGGATTGTATGTTAGATTGTGCGTGTGTCTGTGCTAATGATGTTCTGTAATGAATAGCAGACAAAGATTTTAAAGAATTGAAGTTGACGTTGATGCTTCGAAGGTTATTATCAATATACCGATTCAGAGTATCTGAACTATACATATATTTATGTATACCGATTCAGAGTATATGAACTATACATATATATATGTATACCGATTCAGAGTATTTGAACTATACATATATATATGTATACCGATTCAGAGTATCTGAACTATACATATATATATGTATACCGATTCAGAGCATCTGAAATATACATATATATATGTATACCGATTCAGAGCATCTGAAATATATATATATATGTATACCGATTCAGAGTATCTGAACTATACATATATATATGTATACCGATTCAGAGTATCTGAACTATACATATATATATGAATACCGATTCAGAGTATCTGAACTATACATATATATATGTATACCGATTCAGAGTATATGAACTATACATATATATATGTATACCGATTCAGAGTATCTGAACTATACATATATATATGTATACCGATTCAGAGCATCTGAAATATATAAATATATATGTATACCGATTCAGAATATCTGAACTATACATATAAATATGTATACCGATTCCGAGTATCTGAACTATACATATATATATGTATACCGATTCAGAGTATCTGAACTATACATATATATATGTATATCGATTCAGAGCATCTGAAATATATAAATATATATGTATACCGATTCAGAGTATCTGAACTATACATATATATATGTATACCGATTCAGAGTATCTGAACTATACATATATATATGTATACCGATTCAGAGTATCTGAAATATATATATCCATGAGTTGAGATGTCTATCACATGGTTACATGGTTATAAAGTCTGCAACAATAATTTATTAAAGGAAATGAGTTTTTGTCACAAACTCAGATTTGTTAAACCCAAAATCTCTGCAACTGGATAGTGTAAAACTTTGATATTTCAAACTAAAATTATTTGATCTACCAGAACTCATAGTTTGAAATAGCTAAGGTCTACGACATTGGGTTGCAAAGTTATAACGATAGGAAAATTTTGGTTTGTGGCAAAGACTCAATTCCTTTGTATTAAGTGCACAAAGACAGAATTTTTTAGTGTATGATTAACTTGATGTTGAGTTGAGCCCTGTAAAAGTAAAAATTCATAAATCTTTTCACCATCTGTAGGATTCATATCTATCTAGTATCTATGCTATACATAGTATCTATATCTAGTTGCAAGCAAAAAAAATGAGTTGGTATGATATATGTTATGTTGTATAATATATGATTTATGAATGATATATTTTATGTTATTGAAGCTACATATTAGATTAAAGGTAATGACATACAATGGAGGTTGGTTAATCCAATGGAGATAGATTTAATGAGTGGAGGAAAGGTGATAAATAAAAAAAATGCTAGTTCAGGGAACAAAATAAAATATATCAGGGTAACTTGATATATTGAAAACAAGGTGATATATATGGAGGTAAAATTGTGCAAGTATCAATATATAATTGGTCTAAGAATGGATAGAAGGGGCCTAAGAATGGAGGTAAAAGTGTGCAAGTATAAATATATAAGCGGTCTAAGAATGGAGGTAAAATTGTGCAAGTATCAATTTATAATTGGTCTAAGAATGGAGGTAAAAGTGTGCAAGTATAAAAATATAAGTGGTCAAAGAATGGATAGAAGGGGTCTAATAATGGAGGTAAAAGTGTGCAAGCATAAATATCTAAGTGGTCTAAGAATGGAGGTAAAAGTGTGCAAGCATAAATATCTAAGGGGCCTAAGAATGGAGGTAAAAGTGTGCAAGTATAAATATATAAGTGGTCTAAGAATGGAGGTAAAAGTGTGCAAGCATAAATATATAAGTGGTCTAAGAATGGAGGTAAAAGTGTGCAAGTATAAATATATAAGTGGTCTAAGAATGGAGGTAAAAGTGTGCAAGTATAAGTATATAAGTAGTCTAAAAATTGAGGTAAAAGTGTGCAAGTATAAATATCTAAGCGGTCTAAGAATGGAGGTAAAAGTGTGCAAGTATAAATATATAAGTGGTTTAAGAATGAATAGAAGGGGTCTAAGAATCACTGTAACCTAAACAGAAGGAGAAAGTCAAATTTCTGCGACGTTAGTTTTGATTTTACGCATAAGTATGAGAAAAACAAATATGTCCAGTTACATTTTAAAAAATTTAAACAATTTTGTTATTTCAATAATAACTCTAAAATAGAAGTACTTATGATTAGAAACATATAAGATTTTACATGGAATTTACTTTAGTGTCACGTGGAATGGAGATAAAAGTGTGCAAGATATACAAGTGGTCTACTCTAAGAATGAAGGTAAAGGTACAAATATAAAGGGTTTAAAACTGGAGATATAATTGAACATTTAAAGCCGAAGAGTATGGAGAATATAAGAACTAACGTAAGTATATGTAAGAGAGAGAGAGAGATTAATTTTACAAGAAATATCCCAGCCGGACGAATCTAACTTCTGAATCTAATCCCGTCCGAAACTAAAGGAAACGAAACTCGAAAGCGGAAAGTCAGTCAGTGTTAAACCGACCTCTGAGAGTTGAGGTGTGAGCCAAACTCCTAGTCCGTGATTTCATTTAAATAGCAGTTTGTTAAACAGTGAGTTAGGTTTATAGAGCTGAACTTAATCATATTAGAAACATCTTTTTTGTTAACAATTTAAATCGGCACAAGATTTTTCAAAATTTTTATTTCACTTGGCAAATTATATTTATATCTGGCAAATTATATTTATATCTGGCAAATTATATTTGTACATAAAAATTGTGTTTTTACTATGAGTCTACAGAAATATGTAAAAATATGAATTTGCCATACATAAATATAATTTGCCAGATATAAATATAATTTGCCAGATATAAATATAATTTGCCAGATATAAATATAATTTGCTAGATATAAATATAATTTGCCGGATATAAATTTATGTACAACACATTGTACATTGTCAAACTTAACACTTAGATATTTTAAAGGAACTGAGTTTTTGCCACAAGCTCAAATTTTCTAATCCCTACATCTTTGAAACCCAATGCCATAGACCTTTTCTATTTCAAACTATGATTTCTGTTAGATTAAATAATTAGAGGTTGAAATATCAAATATGTAGACCATTAGGTTGCAAAGATATTGGGATTAGAAAATTTTTGCCTCAAAGTCTGATTTTTCAATCCCAATACTCTTGCAGCCAGACGTCGCAGACCTCTGAAATTGTGAATTCTGCCAGATAAAATAATCTTGGTTCGAAATATCCCGGGTTTATAACATCAGGTTGCAAAGATTTAGGAATATGAAACTTTCTAGTTTTTTGCAAGAACTCTTTCTGTGCTTTTTTCTGGTCCTCGTAAAAAGCTTCTTTAGTTGAAAATAATTTTGTTCATCTTATTATCTCTTCAATAAGAGGAGTTATGATGAATAATATGTAATATTTTATTCTAACGTGAATTTTATATTTGCCATTTGACTGTGTAACAGACAAATCCCTGCGTACATCTGGCAAATTGCAAATGGTAATTTTACTATTTTGTGAAGGGCAAAAAGTGAATTTGAAGAAATATGTCGGATTCTGCAGATCACGAGCATGATGCTTTAGAAAAAGAAATTATTTCTTTTTTGGAAAAGGTTGGTCACTTTGTATTTCAGCTAACGGATATAAATAAAATAAATAAAATTTTGTTCTATAATGTACTATCTACATTTACTACATCATAGGGGTTTTTAGAAAGATTTTTAGAAAATGTAGTCTCATACTTGATTTAATTTTCCTTAGACACAAATTAATTGAAAATTCTCAATTTTGGAACTTAAAACAAAAATGTAATATTCTTTATCAGGTAAATTTACGTTATTTATTTTTAAAAATCTTAAAATATTGTTTGGAAGTATATAGGAGTATTGGAAGTTAAGGAAACTGAAAAAAACTGAAGAACATAAAATGAAATGAAACCCCCTTCGCTTCTGCAGAGTTCTGGGGGGGGGGCGGGGGGCACTAATTGTCATCCTTTCCCTTTAACTCCTGTATACGTCCTTGGAAGCAGCCTTGTGTACAACTGTTGTAAATTTTAAAAAGATGTTCCATGTTCTGATGGTCTGTAATAAGATGCATTTGAAAACATGTTAATGAATGAAAAAACTGAAATCCACCCTCAAATTAATAAGAATGAATTGATTTATTTAAGTATGGTCTAGGCTGAGGCAACTGCCCTGTTCGTTTGGGTTAATTTTTGAAATATTAAACAATATATTTAGTCTTATATGTGATTCCAAAAAATTGCTAAAGCTTTTTATACACAAAGAACACACAAAAAATGGATTAATAAAAAATTCTGAACAAAAGATAAATTGAGATTTTTTTATCAAGATGAATCATTGCTGTTGCATGCATGGGGTCATAAAATTTTTAGGCTGATAAATTACGTATCTTTATTACACATAGGGTTATCCTTATCATCAGATTAGTGGTTCTAGACCGAGGTCGCAATTTTTGTATTGTTAATCCTTTTAGAAAGCACTAATCCGTATATTTTATAGTCCGATGGATTTAGATAATTTTTTTGGTTATCATTCAGATGCCAAAAACGGAAAATACTAGGTTAAATTAAAAGTTGCTGCCCTTAACATCAAGTTTTTTCGTTGTAGGACGGTTAGCACCAAGGTACTAATGCAAGGAAAGTTAATTTCAGTTGCGTATACTCTGCGTACATATTGAAACCAGTTCTCTCTGCAGTACACTGCAGAACAAAAAATGCGTACACCTCTGAAATAACTTTCCTTGCATTAGTACCTTGGTTAGCAACTTCTACGGAGCTCAGGATGCATACACAATACAAATCTGTAATCTGATAATTAAATTTTACTAATGTCCTTAGTGAGTAATAAATAAAATTCAGATTATGAAAGGGGGAAAATATATTGCTTGTCCTGCGCCGCGCCCTATTTATGTCTTTTCCAAATTGAGTTTTGAGTTTGCAACCGAGACATGGAAACTTTTAACTGTAGACAAATCTAAAAGAAACTGAGTTTTTGCCTCAAACTCACGTTTTCCAATCCCTATAATTTTAAAACCTTATGGTGAAAACCTTTGATATTTTTAACTTAGATTATTTGACTTAACATAGTTCATAGTATGAAAATCCAAGGTCTACGGCATTGGGTTACATTGAGAAATTTGAAAACCAGATATTGTGGCAAGGACTCAACTCCTTTGCACAAAACTTACAAACATATTTCATCAATGAGCGAGACCATGCTTACTCTAAATATGTCTGTCAAAAAGTCAAATAAATGAAACCCAGTCTAATGTTTAAAGTTTCCGAACCTGGCAGGCCTTTTCTGTGCATACTATAATAGCATTCCAAGCCATTATAAGATATCAGGGGCAACAAATGAGGGGGAAGGGGGGGCGTGAATGAAGGAGGAGGGGGGAATGGGGAGATATCTCTTATGCATCATAATTTATCATATTAATGTTTTTATAGTTTGCAACTCCTAACATCAAACACGAAAATTTAGCATCATAAAAACGTTTACATCAAAACGTTTGTTAAGATTAAACATATAAATAGTAGCTTGGGAACCCATCGTTGCCTGGAGATCTGAAATTTATCTATAAAGTCAAAAAAATCAACTCAAACATGTTAATCCAAGCTAAGAATATTCCCGTGGTTACTGAATCCAAATTTTGTTAATTCAGTTAAGTGATTTATATTTTTAGTTATGACGACATAACACAGACGCTCAGATTATATTTAAGTTATGAATGGACATAACACAGACACTCAGATATTACTACCTTGTATATTAGATTGGATTACTGCAAAATGTTGATGTTTGCGACAAATTTTTATTTTATTTAGATATTCATATATTTTTTAACGGGTCTATTTTAATGCAAAAGGCATATTCTAATTATTGATTAAAAAATAAATATGTTATTTCTCAGTGTATTGATAATGTATAATTGATAATAAGATTTAAAACATCAATCTAAATATTCGGTCATTCGACATTCATTAATATTCTTAAGTGCATTTCTTCATCCTTCCAAGGAAAATCAGAGTATTATTTATTACTTTAAAAAAAGAGTATTGTTTATGTCCAATTTTTTAAAAGGTTTAAATACCCCTCATTAAACAAGTCGCCCCCCCTCCCCCTCCCCCTCATTTACGTAAAAGGTTGTTAATTAGATCGACCCCAACCACCACTATATACACATACATCTAAACAGTTTGTCTTTAATCTTTGTGACAGAAACAATCTCAAGGAATAATAATTATCTTAAAATCTGAGTTCTTTTCCCTTATGTCCATTTGACAGCCAAATTTTTGTTTTTAAATATTTTTTGTTTGTTTATTTTCTTGTGGTTTTTAACAATTAAAATTTTTTATCGGTTTTGATGGTTATTATCGTTAGAACTGACGAGGGTCAACCCAGACCGAAATATATTTTCAATAAATGTGGAACTAACATCTACTTTTTTGACTCTACAGAGGTTTGGTCCATCACCATCACCGAATTTTAAAAATACTTTCTTTTATCTTTAGTCTTTACTTCACATTCTTCTTTATATGTGTTTAAAAGCATGTATTTTTAAAATAA